AAAATTAGTCTTTTGTATATGAGTGAACCTACTATTATTATAGACCCTAATGAGGAATTGCAAATTGTTCTTTGTATGATCTACTATAATGTGTCCAGCTTTTATTCCAATCCTAGAAAAATACGAAAAATATGTATAAAAGAAGGATATACTCATTTTCGACTTAAAGATATCACAAACTGGTTAGAGAATCAGTATAATTACCAGATATATCGACACCCACCAAAGATTAAGGCCCAGGCTAGCTTTTCTAAATGCAGAATTCCTAATAAATTACATCAATATGATCTACTCCCCATGTCTATGATGATCAAAAAAGAGGAAAAATATATTTATACACTTTGGTGTTGATAGACGTGGCAACTAGATATAAATATACAGTAGCATTAACATCAAAGACTAGCTCAGAGGTTTGGAACATGATCGAAAAAATATACAATGATCCCAAAAATCCTCTCAAGTGGCTGGCGTTGTTGATGGTTGATGGTGGCAGTGAGTTTAAAGGATCATTTGCGAAAGGAATAGAGCGATATAATGTTCCTATAAGAGTTGTCGATCTTTATAGCTTTGAGAGCTTAGCATTAGTTAAAAAATTCAAACAAAATTTGGCTAGACTTATATACAAAATTTAATATGCTATAGAGGGAAAACTCAAAGAAGGTGAACGCTCGAAATTATGGAACAAGATACTTCAGAAAATTATTGACTATATGAATAATAATAAAACTCGATTAATAGGCATATCACCATCATATGCAATGACATTGGGAGAAGTAATACCTAAAGTATCTACCAAACCTAAAAGACCTATTGGAAAGGATGAGCCACGATTACAAAAGGGGCTCACAGTAAGATATCTATTAAAACCCAGTGAGCTAGAAGGAGGGCATATGCATAGAAAAACTGACCCATGGTAGTCATTGCGTATCTATAAAATCAAAAAAGTTATTGTTAGTAAAAATCTACCACAGCCAGTCTTATACTATCTTGAGGATGAGCCAATTGAATCTACCGCTTATTTGATAGATAGAAATCCACATCGGCCTTTCAAAAGGGAAGAATTAATGCCAATTAATGTAAATTCTTTGGAGTATCCTCCAGATGAGTTTATGCGGAAATACCATCCTACTGGATAATTCCAATTTAAAAAAATACAAATATACTTGAATCAACTCCTAAAAATGCGAACTAAACTATCTTTAGCAGATGCTTATACAGTTGCTAAAAGTTGAGGTGGACAATGCCTTTCTGAGAATTACATTAATAATCATACCCCCTTATGATGGAAATGCGCTAAACATCATGAATAGAATGCATGCTTATATGATATAAAAGATGGTGCCACCTGGTACCCGAAGTGTCCACGATGGAAAGATCAGAAAATACGAAGTCTTGAAATAGTTAAAAAATTAGCATATACTAGAAGAGAAAGTTGTCTTTCATTAGAATATATTAATTATAATTCTCCATTGCACTAGAAATGTGCAAATAGTCATGAATGGATGTCATCATTAAAAAATATAAAAAGTTTTAATACGTGGTGTCCAAAATGCGCAAGAAAAAATCAGAAGCCTGTTATTGTGAATAATAGTCGAAAATTTAGTATTGATATTGCTAAAAAAATTGTATATTCCAGAGGCAGTGATTGTCTTTCTTTAGAATATATTAATTGTCATTCCCCATTACTTTGGAAATGTGTACAAAATCATACGTGGTCTGCAACGTTAGATAGTATAAAATCTCACCATACATGGTGTCCGCAATGTTCAGGATATTCTAAGCTTAATATTGATATTGCTATTGATATCGCATATTGTAAAGGAGGTAAATACTTGTCAGAAAAATATATTGATATAAATTCTCCGCTTTTATGGAAATGTGCTAAAGGACATCAATAGAATACAAATCTTAGATGTGTAAGAAATTTAAATACATGGTGTCTTTATTGTTTGGGTTGCTATTCTTGTAATCTTGAACTTGCTAAAAAAGTGGTAAATGCTATGGGAGATGATTGTCTTTCTAAAAAATATATTAATGCTATCACACTGCTCTTATAGCAATGTAATAAAAAACATATATGGTATGCAAATCTTGATAAAGTTAAAAATTTAAATACGTAGTGCCCATTCTGTAAAAAATATAAAAGAGAGCGTTTATGCTATGAAATCGTATCAAAATATTTAGGTGCACTATCAAAAATTTGAAAACCTGATTTTTTAAAAACACCTGAACACCTGACAGGTCTACAACTCGATATTCCATATTATCATTATAGTTTTGCTATTGAAGTACAAGGGAAACAGCATGAAAAATATCATAAATTCTTTCACAGAAATCAGGAAGCTTTTAAAAAACAGTTAGATCGTGATCAACTCAAAAAAGAACTCTGTGAGGAAAACTGGATAGTCCTTATCGAAGTATAGTATTATGAAGACCCCCATATCATTATTCCAGAAAGATTACAAGAACTGGGTCTTATATCTTAACTAGTATTGTTCAATTTTATGATATTTTTAGAAAGATACCTAAGAATAACAATACTTTTTTTCTCTTATATAGTGTATATAATATGGTATTCTATTACAGACCAAATTCTAATAGCAAGTTAGCCAGGGCTCATGAATATGCTAGCAAGCATGGTGGAGAATGTCTTGGAAAAAGTGGTCGAATTAATGATCAGAATGTATACCTTTGATCATGTCAGAATGGTAAACATCAATTTGAGTACCCGTATCTATTAATAGCTACGAAATTTGAGTGGTGTTCAATTTGCCCTCATTTCAAAGAGGAGCGCAATTGTCAATATATATTTGAGGATCTGTTAGGTAAGAAATTTCTACCATGCTCAGATAAATTTTTGGATAAGGCTTGATGGATATAACAAGGAATTGCGCCTGGTATAGAAGCATCAAGGAGTATAATACTATCGATTAGTCCCAAAACACTTCCATCCTAATGGTGAGGCTGACCTAGATGCACAACGAAAGCATGATCAAAAAAAGCAGGATATATGTAAAAGAGAAGGCATAGATCTCATCGAAGTAAAAAAACTCTTTCCGTAAATCCCTTACACAAACTTAAATAAAAATTCGTGCATCATAAAATCGCCCATATCTCAA